GTGGAGCGACCTTAGGGACTCCATGACTCGGGGACGCAGAGCGGTCCAAAGATCAAACGCCCGCAAACTGAACCCTTTCTAGAACTCGAAATATTTAACCAGTGTTCCCGTCGCTTTAATCACAGTTTGTACTCGCCTTTGCGAGAGAATTTCTAGGCTCCTTTTTTACTTTTTTTCTCTATGCAACAGTTTTACTTTCTGCATTAGGTCATCTTCTGTATATTGTGTACTTAAAATGAAAATACGTGTCATGCTGGAAAAATAAAGAGAAGAAAGTGGCGTAGCTTTGTGGTAACGCCTCCGCTTCGTACGCAGCGGACCCAGGCTCTATTGCTGCGGCCGGCCGGCGATCTTTTTTAAGGATTTAGCGACATCGACGAACGGCGGACATCCTATGCCCCACTGCGCCAGTTACATCAGCGACGACAACAACTGCAACATCAACTACTACAACATCCACAACGGACGTCATTTACAGTAGTGGGAAGAGCCCATAACAGCTATCGTTGTAAAATATCTCTTACCTATTACTTCATATAGTCTTGACATAATGACCTACCCCATCCCCTGTAGTCTTTTAAGCCTAAATAACTCTGCCAAGGCTGGCGATCCTTTGATAAAAAAATGTTTTGGTTCACTTCGTTGCCACCTCAGCTCCAAAGCACACCCGTCCTTCCTGCTCTTAGTATTTTAGGGATAAAGAAACTTTTCTGTAAAATTAACTTCCAAAAGAACCCTTTTGCAGATTTGGGTTCATGTATGTATGTGTAACAACTTCTACAAAAATACTACAAAAAGGAGGAACTTCGATTATGTGCACTGGAAGTACAGATTAGTACAAGCAATCACGAGAATACAAACTAAATATAAAATTATTTTTACTAATGCGGGCTGCAATTATTGCATTTAGATAAAATAAAAAATACTATGTAGATTGTTTCGTGTAAATAAATTAAAGTGATAGCAGTCGTTAACATGTATTTAGGCCCACAGGCATATAGTTTTTAATAAGCAAAATTCATGATGAATCCTAAAATACAAGGCTCCAAACATACAACCAATACGTGAAAGATGCGGTGTTTCGCGTTTATTATTTCTGGCATGAATTCTGAGTAGTTTAGTTGAATGGGAAAATACACCGTGCGTATTACATTTACGAGAAAAAATACCGTGAGTGTTTTCTTTATCACATCTAAAACAACCGGCAAAAACTTGAAAATTCTTGTAAAGAAAAATACCCTTCATAAATTAGTTAAACTGTGTTTTTATTCATTGCGGGTAGGAACATATAATGTATAATATTTTAAAGCCAATCATGATATCAAACCCGACACACGTGTTTGATTTCAAATGAAACAAGCCATTTAATAGCTGATAACATCTCTGACCTAATCCATACACAATCGGGATTACGTCTTTTAAAAGTTTATTCCTTTGCTGCAGTTAATAATTGTGAGAATAATTTCACGAAACCTTGGTACTCTTTTCATGCTTCTGCGGAATTAGGTCATTCCACTGATAATTTGGACCTTCTGATCAAAACGAGCTTGATCAGTTATTGTTTTATTTTTTACCGTTCCGTGAGAATGTGGATCAGCTAATTTTACGGATATCAGAACGGCTTTATCAAAGCTTTCTAACATACAAAGATATACCTTGTCAATACAGGACAACTCAAATTTGTCGCCTAAAAGCTTCAAGGGTTAATAAAGCTAATACCCAAACACATCTGACTGGGGTGATAAAATCCGATAGTGCATTATTTAGTTGGTTATAAAACAAAGTTAATGTTGCTGCCGGGGACGATATATATTTCTAGGGTCGTAAAAAGTATTGACGGCCCACCTACAGGCAACTTAATTGTGAATGCATCATCGTTATATTCATTTTCGATGCGCACCAACTGTCTTTAACTTAATTACGTAATCCCTCTTCCCTACCAGGCGCACTTCTGAGCGCAAAGCGCTCATACCGAGATATAAAAAAATTGCAGTCATGTCCTCAATAATATTATTTTGGTCGGAATGAATGCACCTATGATTGTTTCTAGGTCTTGAACAATACCCATGAACTGACCCCAATACCTTCAATAGGTTCTTACAATGAAATCTGTACTATTCTGATCAGTGTGTCGAACCGGAAAAAATATGGGTTCGGTTACGGTTCAGGTTCAGGTAAATTTATTTTGTTCCGGTTCAGTTCCGGTTCGATTAATTCGATCCGCGAACCGGTTCGGGGCGCTGAACCGGTTCGCGAACCGGTTCGGAAATTATAAATGACAAATTGCAACATCAAAATAAATTACAAATAAAACATCTGAAATCAGCACATACGACACGGGATACATCGTAGTGTAAGGCTCAGGGATTTCTACCAGGAATGGTTTCTTTATGTTCACTCAAAGGTTACCTCACCGACGTTTACGCATTCGGACTTCATCTAATTGGGTCCGACGCAGTAGCTGTAAAATCCGCGACCTCCTTACAAACCAACTTACAAGTAGAACTCGCTAACTATCCCGCCACCTCGGCGTGTAAGCAATTGAAGGAACAGTGGGGAGAAAATACAGCTTTCTTTATTTGAACTAGCCTTCGGTAACTCAAATTAGACCCTTAAAGAAGTTTTCATTAAACAAGATACGGAATATGAAAAACACTTCACCGAACGCAACGCCAGAAGGACGTAATGGGATAAATATTAAAATGGAAGAGTTCGCTGTCTCACAAATATGTTAGCTTCTAAGTGCCTATACGAAACCGGATGCATTATTATCAAACTCCACAGCCTTTTCTTTTCTCATTCCGATGGAAGCAAGCTTCAAGAACTCGCGCGTTCTAGAAACGTGTTATGAAATGAGCACACAGCAGCATTTAGGATTTACGAGATTGTAGAAAAATGAAATCCCGTGACGCGATTTTTTTTTTTTTTGCACAGCCTTCCAAGTTTTTTTTTCCGTGCAAGCCGCGACCGGCGCAATACTGGTTCCTATGTCAAGATTCATGGATGCAGCGTTTATATTCCTAAGACTGAGTGGAGAAGAAAAATATGTAAGCGAGGTGTGTGTCAGTTGACGGCACTTAAAAGACAAATGGCATTGATAGCACATTCATTGTCAACAGCGCGTGGCCGAACCGTTTTTTTTCCGGTTCAGTTCCGGTTCGGGTTCATCGCGATAACAATATAACGGTTCGGGTTCGGGTTCAGTTCCGGAAAAAATACCGGTTCGGTTCCGGTTTTCGGTTCGGTTCGGTTCCGGTTCGACACCCTGATTCTGATGATTCTTCAAGTTAGAAAGAAGGGTCAGAGAAGTAGAAAAGAGTCCTTGACTGCAACTGCACAATGATGTCAGAAATAGGTTAATGCGCAAAAGCGAAGACGTCTCCTTCTTCACACGTGAATTTATACTGCTTTTTATTTGATTTGTCTCTTGTCATCAAAAGTGGTTTTGCTCTGTCAGGTTCTCGTTATAAAAAGCCTTGAAACAGCGGCCTTCTTTAATCAGTAAACGAAGCTTCGCGCACGAGACGCGCCACCAATTTTCTTTATTCTCTTTAAGCGAATTTGACCAAAAACTAGGTTTTGCAGGAAGCCGATGTATTGCAAGAACATCTGTCGTTGCAAACCTGAGCCTGAGCATAACTGCTATGTCACTCATAGTCTTTCTGAGGTCGTCATTCGGCGTTCTGGGCAGCACGGGAATTTTCAGATTGGCCAGCCGACTACAATATTTCAAGTTGTTCAGCTCTTCCTACATGAACCGAATTCTTTCAGTTTGACACTTGTCCACTTCATATAACTCCTGTTGCTGCTTTTCTGGTTCATTGATTGACTTTGTTTGCGGAGGTGCCCTCTAACTGAGTCGTATTTTCCTGACAGTTCATCAACTTTGACATTCAGGTCTTGCATGTAAGCAACTAACTTCACCACCGTAGGCTTAAGTGTCAATAGCTCATCCACGTTAGTAGGCAATGAAAGGAGCGTATACACGCTTGCCTTCATGAAAAACAGGACATCAAGTTTTCTTTCTAAAGACGGGGAATAAATCGTGACTTCTGTCGTGTTATCTGCAAGCTGTTCTACGAAGAAGGTGTTCCACTCTGAGATCCGATTTGTTATCCCGTGTACGGCAAATCATGCAGCGCTACGTTTCCCGTTTTGCTTGTCCCGTCTGTTTTCATAGTGAGTTTCGGCAACACAAGCACGACACTTTCCAGAGTGGTACTCACTTTTACATAGTAAACATTGCACATATGTTTTTTTTTGGTTGATTGTTCAAGACACGTAACGCACTCTTTCGTGCTTGGCATATAACGCGGCAATTGGTAACACAATACTTGTGTCGGTGAAGCCAAAAGTATACAAACTACTAAAACTATCAATTATTCGAACGTACTCTAACCTCTTTAAAGAAAGACAAGCAAGTTGACATGGTTCAACAGCGCATCGCCATAAACTGCGTTGATTTCTGCGATGACATTGGCTCTTATTATGTTCTTTAGGTTGACCCGACGATCAATGAGCAAGGGCTGATGATGACTCGTCTGCTGTTGTGGCCATTCAGCGCGAAGGAAGACAACCAACGGGTGGATATACATGAATGGTGTCTAGCATCTTAACACTAGAGTAATGGCTCCCCAGGAGGGCCGCAGCGTCACCATGCAGAACTGTTTAAAGAAACGCAAGCTAGTCGAGGAAATTGTTCCCCAGCGCTTCGCCACCGACCGCTTGTACTATTCATCGTGCAAGTTTGTCTGCTCCTTGCGTACCTCGTGTGTTTTTTTTTGTTTACCTCCAAACGCGCTCACGTGCGTCAGATTTCCCTGACCTCAGCCAATGACAGCGCGCAATTGGCTGCCTCGTCGTCGCCCGTTACCTGGGCGTTCTCTATGTTGCCCTTCGAGTCGCGTGCGCCTTCTTGCGTTCGGCTGCTCAAAAGATACAATTTGGAACCGATGTTCGCCGTATAGTTTTTGTCATACTACGTGTTCACTTTCTTGCAGGGCATACACACGCACTTCAGCGTTCCAACGCTGGTCATGGGAGCTGCTGGAGTGACCGGAGCAACTGCCGCCTGTTTCCTTCCGGAGACGCTCGGAGCAGACCTGCCAGATACGTTCGAAGAGGCCGACAAGCTCGGCTCCAAGATGCACGAGTAGGAACCCCATTCGATTTTCGTTTGGTGACGAAATCGTTTGGTGAAAGGAAACGTCTTAGGTGCCTTGCTTTTTTGGTGACAGGCAAGATTTTGGGTAGCACGATTGCTTGATGACACCCTTCTGAAGGGACATAGTCTTCTTGTAAAACACTTTTTGGAGAGAGGCAGTTGAGATGACAGGATCATGGTGAACATAATTTTTGAGTGAGAAGGTTTTTTGTTGAGAGCGAGACTTTGGAGACAGGCTCTTTTGATGACAAGTTGACTGACTAGGTATACTTTGAGTGACCAGATTTTAGTGACAAGCTTTTGGTGAAATGAGAAATGTGGATTTGGCACACGTCTTGGGTGAGAGGACGAGTTTAGCCTGGCGGTCTCATTTAGTAAAAAAACAATCTTTGATGTGGCAGATTCTTTTGGTCAAAGGCAGAATTTGTTGTGATGGACCATTGTGATTGCAGGCAGTCTGTGTGGTGCCACGCTTTTTTTTTAGATGAAAAGTTTGATTATGTATGCAAGCTTTGTGGTGCAAGCTTCTTTGATTACAAGAAACTTTCGAAGAGTGGAACGAGTAAAAAAACCGAGCGAAAAATAGCCAAAAAAAAAAAAGTATATCACGGAACCTATTACTTGTTTTGCTGCTTTATTTCGCGGAAAGATAACATTTCGGTGCAACCAGAAGTGGAGCTAGATCGACACTTTCATTTGATTGATATGTGTCAGTGTTAAGACAGGTTTAGGCGTTTCAGCTTCTTTATTGTACTCTATATGTAATTTGCGAATAACAGAACCAAGAATTAGACGAACGGGCATAGCTGTACCATGCGACACGTAAAAGTGATGCCAAAATCACTCCTGTCGCTACGGTGATTCGAAACAAAATGCGCTAGCATTTAGTGCAGGGGTTCCAACTCATCGAAGGACGGGAATTCCAACCTCGCAACGGCCCGCCAGTCGGTTCCTTCCTCTCCCATCCCCGCGGCGCATCATTGGAAGCGTGCAATCAGACTCTTTCCCTCTTGTAAAAGAGGAAGTCAACATAACGATCGAACGAACGGGGCGAAAGAGCACGGCGGGAACCGCGCACAGCGCCGGGTCCTCACGAAACCAGTTAATTCCAGGCCAGTCCAGTCCAAACTAAACCGAACCAAAGCACGACCGTCCCAACGAAAGCCGGCTGCATGCACCAGGGCAATAAATGCCAACGCATTTAAGAAAATATAAGGAAAATAATCGAAAAAGCTCGACATTTATGTGTACAAAAGTTGTTATAGATATATCAATAAATAAATGTATTTACCAAATTCATACACTCATGGAAAAGAAATGTTGTAGGAAGGTACTTTTATCCTGAGTATATATTGAGACTTGTCGAAAATACCTTTAAAGAAATGCGTCTGCTTTTTTTCTATTTTTTTTTTTTTCAGAATCGAGCTCCAAGAAAGCACCAAATGATTGTGTGGCGTCGTGAGGTAAATAAAGACAACTTTAAATACTGTGGTTGGTCGGGACCACGGCGAAGAGGAAGACGGGGACTACGCAGGGCAGAGATTGACGACGAACTCGAAAACAAAGGACGGTTACGGAACGAGAAAGGGCAATACGCTGCCTTCAGATCATCACTGCGAGATAGTAAACCTCTTGTATATTATACGTTGCGTTGTGTGATCTCATTTGGGGCGGTCGAGGCGGGGCCTGATCTGGCGTTGGCTGAAGTGGACATTCACATTATCTAGCTCTTAAATGTGCGGCCCGATCAGCTGGCTCTCGCTTTTAGTTGTCCCTTAAAGGTCACAGACGACGGGTTCCTCGACCATTTCGGGGGGAACGGCGCACCTAGCTCGCTGAAGGCTCGTTATCGTGCGAGCCAACTTTTGCATTCGACACGATTTCGAGCATGGCCGCGAATAGCGACGGTCGTCCCAGACGCGGCTCAGCGAGCGTCGGACGCCGCCGCGCTCCCAAACGCTGTCGGAGGATGGGACATCCAACTCCGACGGCGTACGTGGAAAACGTCGGTGAGCTTATGCGCTCTATGACGGCGATGCTCGAGACGGTTTCGCAGGCGTTAGGAATGCCGGGCCTACATTCTTAAAAACAATCTACACCTCTAGACGTGTAAACAATTGTCCCAGGCCGGACACCCGAAATAGAGTTCGTTGTATTTTTGAGGGTAAAAGCGCTACAAACAACGGACAAGTAAGAGAAACTAACAACACACAACGCTACTTGCAGCCGAAGTTTATTCTCGGAAAACACACACACACACATATATATATATATATATATATATATATATATATATATATATATATATATATATATATATATATATATATATATATATATATATACACCGTGAAATCACATGTACGACAGAAATGCGACATCATCAAATCAGTGCTCGTCTGTCTGCTATCGATTTTGCGAAAATTGTTTAAGCATTTTGAGCATCTTTTTCTTAGTTAAAACACACAAGGAGGCTATGCCCTTTAGGGCGATAGTCACGCAGAGGGGGTCGTGACAATCACAGGTGCCGTCGTACCTTCAACGACAGCTGTCGCAGCTTCATTTACGTGATCCTTTTAGAGTCAGTAATTCCAAAAGTGTGGTGGAATACCTTAAAGGTTAAAATCCCGGTACATGGCGCGGTTTCCTTCGACGTCAAAGAACTTTTTTATTCTATCCCACATGAGACACTTTTTGAGACGGTTAGAGAAGCTATTTATAGGTTTGGTGTTTTAAAGTTCCAGAATGAGTGTGGCGTGTATGAGGTTTTCTTTTTTAGAATTGGTACGCTTCTGTCTGAGCTCCACCTATGTCGTTCATGAAGGAGTAAAGTTCATACAGAAGGAGGGTGTATGTATTAGGACGAGCGTGGCGCCCGTGCTGAGCGACCTGTTTTAGCAAAGTGTGACAGAGACATTGAAAGCCTGTTGGATAAAGAAGTCATTCGTGTTTTTTGGTATGTAGACGATTACCTGGTGTTTTTTTGTTCGAAGAAGGGTTATGAAAGAAAGGGCTTTCAGTACGAGGATGCTCGATAGCGATCTTGGTGCGACTGGTTTTAACGACCATTTCGAAGCTTCGAAGCTTTAAAAGGGTTCAAAATGGCGATCACCATGGCAACCGACAGCGATCAGCCAATCACCTTGAGAGGTTTTGTCGTCTTTATGTTGGTCTTTGTTTGTGTCCCTCTAGCAGGCGGGAAGGCAATGGCGCTACTTTCCCAGATCCAGTAAGTTTACCCGGAACGATCTTGCTGGTCAGACTCATCGAACTGATAAGAACACCTGAAAGCGAACAAGACACGTTACCTTCCATTCCATTTGTCATAACTTTCCACAAAATTCTTGCACTGCTACAATATACAAAAAAAAAACAAAAAACATGCACACCCATACACAAGGCAAGAACCAAAATATTTACAAACGCAGGAACGCCTCGTTACTTTCAATATGGTGCACGGATGCGTGGGTTATACAGTTACAGATTGACTTAAATCTAACGGTTTCTCTTACAACTCTTTTTACACAACTCACCTCTTTCTGTACTACTTGTCTCCGACCACTGTGCCGTGCAGTCATTGCATTCCTGGATATCTGTCTCTATTTGAAGCTATCGGTCCAAATAAAACGAGATAAAGCGCGCGCTTCAGAAGCAAGGCAGTGCCTGCGTCGCGCTTTCCAAATTCTACTCGAATCCTCCGGAAATTTTCACCATATACCTGATTTTTTCACTGCATCCTTTTTCCCAAGTGCTCAGCTCTCTCCCAGTGCCATGTATTGTCTGCTCGTCCTTTGCTTCGCCAATTTCAGGCCGTTTAAACCTTTGATGTGGACACGGCTCCGCTGGCTTGGTGCCGCCAGAGCAATGCGGAGCTAAAATGGCTACTGCCGACACCGCCGCTTCGCAGCTCACCAATTTCGCTGCGTTCATCCCGAGCCAGGAGTTGGAAATCCCACTAAAGAGAGACGACCTAGGTGGGAAGTGGATCACCCCTGGAAAGCCCCGCAAATCGTGTTTTCCGGCCCAACGCGAACCCAACTTCACGCACTTATAGTGCATCTCTCCATCCTTCCCGCTGGCGTAGCTGCGCAGCCCTTTAACATTTTGTTGGTGTTCTTGCAAGCCACACAGCTCCCTGCTCATACATGTGACGACGTGTCGCTTCGCCTCCGCAAAATAACCGTCTCGCCGTCCTTTGCACGCATCACTAAGCGATCGTCAACCGGCTACTTTGCATCACCAGCATCACCTTAAAAAAACTCTTTCCTCCCCGTCAGCTCCTACCTAGCCGCACCAACTGACTCCTGCCGGGGAGTAATTCCTGAAATAACCCCGGGAGCCACTCTCGAGAAGATCATCAATGATCTGGAGTCTTATCAAGCTGACAGCCTTCACGCAAGGCGAATGGGCACAACATATTTAGCCATCAACAACTTCATCGAATTCGTGTCCCTTACACAGTGAACAACCGCCGCCTCGAATTTCGCTGCCCTCGCCACAAATCTTGAGCCCCTCATTTCAACAGCTGTCTCGAGTAAGGGCGCCGTACGCTGGCCTGTCGAGGCAACCAGCGACGCTGCCCCGTGCTCCACCACACTGACCCCCCCCCCCCCCCCCCCCCCCCCCCAGGACGAACCTTATCCCTGCATACCTTGGTGTCTACACTGCCGGGGTCACCACTTCCCATTTAAAAAAAAAAAAAAAAACCACATCCGGAAACAACGCGATGGCGCCTCTGCTGGAGCTGCTCTCCGTCGGTGTCGGATGGCTCCCTCTACGGTACAACCATCGCTCCTAACCTGTCTGGTATCCCCGACCGTGCCGGCACCCCGCCCAATGCCAACCTCCTTCACACCTCCCGCCTCAGCCACTTGGGGCGATCAGCGAACCCCGCCTCACCAGCAACCTGCGCGACTGCAGGCTGCCAGCAAATCCTCGATCACAACATTATCAGCCTACACTTTCCCAGCTTCTCTGCAGCCAGCTATTGACACGACACAGCTGAGCCAGCCGCGGCACGCCGAGCCTGTCCCATCCCCTCCCGCCTTCTCCCAACGTATTGATAGACTTGACAGTGCTGTGGCAGAGCTGGTAATGCGTGTCGACACACTCACCACAGTTGTTGAAGCCCTACAAGCAATGCAAAGACACCTCGACTCCCAGGAAAAACACATGGCTCATCTCGAGGAACTAAAAAAAAATTGGGTTGTGTACATGTTTATTCAGCCTAGAACTTGTCCGCCTCAATAGGCGACGAGTCTCCCAGCTGTAGATGAGACATTTAGCCTGTGCAGTACAACCGCTAGCTTGGGCCTTTAACGTGCATCACGCAGTAGTGATACATGACCACACGCCGGTGCGATGCTCATCCAGATCCAAACGGGCAGGAGTGGGGAGTGGATCCAGGATCCCTGGGTTCTGCAGCGAAAACTTTCGCTCCACGTGCTCCGAGCTCGTGTGTGCTAGCCCACTCGACCACCGATCCACCCTCGAGAAACTAATTACTACGCTCTGAGGATCCCTCAACAACCTTACACACACATTCACCAAGAATCTCACCGGCATCCCTACACATTGGACGAGCAAACCCAAGCCATATCAAGCGCAGTCATGAAGCCCCCGCAGCCTTAGATAGAAAATCTTCAAAACCTCGGCCGGCTACACTCTTCACCTCTCCTAACCCTAATTCTTAATTAGGACCATGGCAGTCACACTGATACAATGGAACTGTCGTTGCCTGTCCAAAAATCCTACCCCTTCACATCAATGGCTCCTAACACAACACACACCCCCACACTTCTTTCTTCTCCAAAGAACACGGCATTCCAAAAACATACCGGGATAACGCGGTCCACATGCCGAAGCGTTCACTCCGCTCTCCTCCATCTACGTTCGCAGAGACGTTGCCTAAGTCACTGAAGACGCTCCAGACACCGTCATCCCTTACGTAACGGCTTTATCCTACTATCCAGACTCCCCTCTTTACCTCTCACTTCAGTTAAAACCTTTAACCCTCCTAAATCATCTCTTTTTTCTTCCCTCTTTACGTATCTACGCACATTCCCATCCCAACGTAACATCATTCTTGGCGGGGACTCTCATGCGCCGCATACATTGTGAGAATACCCCGCCACACTCCCTCCAGGAAGGCTTCTGCACACACTCACCATGCAACAGACATGCTCCCTTATAGATACACAGGACTCGCGTACACGAGACGGACACGCCACACAACGACACATCGTACTAGACCGCACAGTCTACACTGGTCTTCATCCCCCCGACACTTGGCAAGTCTTGCCTGACTGACACTCTTCTTTCAGACCATAACCTTATCCAGATTGCACTTCCACTTACACAAAAGCCCCGAAAGCGTATCACCACACAAACAAGCTGGGACCGCATTCGCCGGGTTCGGAACGCAGTGGCGTGCGTTGATTACGCCTCCTGGACAAGCTTGCACCGACAAGCGCGATCCCAGGCTACCACTAACATGCATGCGGATCTCCCGGCGGACCATCCCGACCCTCACCTGATGAAGCTGTTCAAGAGCCGCAAACGCTTACTCACACGCATTCGCACTCAACCACGAAATCCAGAACTCCGACAGGCACTAGATACGAAAGACACTGATATTCTCAC